GGCCTGCCCAGGCCAGCAGCACCTCAGCAAGGTGTCCCAGGTGGCACTGACCCTGGGTGACACTGACCCTGGCAGCAGGTGCCTCATGCTGGAGGGGGATCCCAGGCTGGAACCTCCAGCTCAGCACCTGCTCCTGAGCTTCTCAGGGGGGAAATCCTGGACACAGCCTCCAGAGAGGTTGTGGAGCCTGGGGCTGTGGCTGGCTCCTCGCTGACCCCGGGTCTGTGGCTGTCTGCCCTCAGGATGCCATCGATGACAAGCTGGACACCAAGCACTACCCGTACATCTCCACCCGCTCCTCCGCCTCCTTCAGCACCACTGCCGTCAGGTGGGTGCCCCTCCTGCCCTGTCCGTGCCCACCTGCTCACTGTCAGCATCCGTCCCACACAGCCCCAGGGGCTGCAGCCAGCAGCAGCTCTGGGGGCTGCTTGCAGGGCATCGTGCCTCTGTTTCCCCTCAAGCACTTCATGTCTGCATTCCTTTGAGGCACTCCGGGTCTCAGTTTCCCTCCAGACAACCTGTGCCTCTGTATCCCTTTAGGAATCCCTTGTCTCAGTTTCCTTCAGGCACCCTGTGCCTCAGTTTCCCTTCAGGCACCCTTTATGTCCATTTTTCTTTAGGCATCTTGTACTCCAGTTTCCCTACAGATATCCTGTGTCTCCATTTTCCCTTAGCAATCCTGTGCCTTCATTTCCCTTCAGGCATCCCATTCCTCAGTTTCCCTCCAGACATCCTGTGCTTCTGTTCCCCTGTAGGAATCCCATGCCTCAGTTTCCCTTTAGGAACCCCATTCCTCATTTTCCCTTCAGACACCTGGTGCCTCAGTTTCCCTCCATGCATCCCGTGCCTCAGTTTCCCTCGCTGTAACAGCGAGCAGCACTCGTGGCTGGAGCACTGGACTTGCCCTGCTGTAACAGCAATGTCTGTGTGATTAAACTGAGATGTGGCACCTGTCCTTCACCCTCCTCTTCCTCTCCTCAGTGCCCGCTACGGCCACTGGCACAAGAACAAGGCCCCCGGCGAGTACCGGAGCGGGCCCCGCCTCATCATCTTCATCCTGGGCGGGGTGAGCATGAACGAGATGCGCTGCGCCTACGAGGTGACACAAGCCAGCGGCAAGTGGGAGGTGCTAATAGGTGAGTGGTGGCCCCGGGGCTGGCCCCTCCCGCTGGCTGCTCATCCCACGCTCCATCCCGCAAGTTCCCGGCTCCAGACGCCTGCGGGAGCTGGAACTCTGCGGAAAGGTTTTGTCCGGACATCTCTTGTCGCCCCTGTGTGTCCCCTCCTTCCCCATCTGGGTCGTGTCACTCCAAACATCCTCATTTTTGCTTCAGTTTTTTCCACATCTCCTGGCTGGTGTTGTCTGAGCAGGGCTGGGTGAGAGGGGAGGAGGTTTGGCAGCCCGGATTGCTCCTCGGTTCTGGGGTCATTACAGGAAGAAAAGTGCAAAATAAAGAGGGGTGCAAACAGGAACCAGGTTTTTCAGGGTCATGCAACAGGACATGGTCAGGGCCAGCTCCCATCTCTGCTCCCAGGGGAGCTGTGGGTCAGGCACAGAGGACACAGTGGGTGCTCTACCAGCAAGGATCTGTTAGGTCTCTAAAATTCCGCTGGGAAGCACAGCTTGGATACACACCTTGTAGGGCACAGGCAGGTGTCCTTCACCATCTGATCTGATACGTGGTGGAGCCCATCCCCAGCATCTCTTCTGCTCCTTGGGAGCAGCATCCCAGTCTCCATCACCTCCTGCTGGCCCAGATGTGTCCCTGTCACCGGACACCCATCCCAGCTCCATCCTGCCTGTCACCATCTCATCCCTCCAGGGTCCATCCCCTGCATGCGCCTCCTTAGCTCCGGGCTCCACCTGCCTCCTTCCTCTTCCTCCCCCCAGAGGCAGCTGCTGGTGGTGGTGGGGGAGCCTCGGCACAGCCGTCAGCCCCGCTCTGTTCTCCTGCAGGTTCTACTCACATTCTCACTCCCACCAAATTTCTCATGGACCTGAGGCACCCCGACTTCAGGGACTCCACTAGGGTATCATTTGAGGATCAGGCTCCAGCAATGGAGTGAGCCAAAGAAACCAAGTAAAGGCAGCTTACTAATGAAAAAGAAACTCTTCCTCCCGAAGGGTTTTCTTTGATTCTTCTGTTCCTCTTTTTTAAAATTGTTGTTTTGGGGTTTGTTGGGTTCTCTGATTAGAAAATGCTTGCGGTTCCTCCGAGCAGGTGGAAAAGCACCCGGCGTCGCTCCATCACCCCTCAGCCATGTCCCCTGTCCGGCTCCTTCATGCCATGAGCTCCCCCTCGCCAGGGCCGGAGGGGTCAGGGTCCTGCCTGCCCCACGGAGGGGTCAGGGTCCTGCCTGCCCCATGGAGGTGTCCCAGGGCCGGGCAGGGGGACAGAACTCCCAAATTCTGCCCTGGGAGCGGCTGGAGTGGGGCTGGGGGAGAGGGGCAGCAGTGGAGACCCCAGCACTCATCCTGGTCCATCCCCCTGGGCTGGGCACTGCTGGGACCCCCCAGCTCTGGGGTGCCCTGGGGTTGTAGTCCCACTCAGCTCAGGTTTGCTCTTGGATAGGCAGGAGCCTTGTGGCGTTGCAGACCCCCAAACCCTGCCTTGGGGTTCAGCTCCTGCTGGTTTCACCAGTGAGTGCCACGCCAGCATGCCCTGTGTGCTGGTGTCTGCAGTGCCAGGGTGACTGTGGGGCTGAGCTGGTGTGGGCAGCATGGTGGGATCCCCACTGGCACCGTGCTGGGGGACTCCCGAGCGAGGGGCAGCGGAAGGCGAGAGCCTTTTGTTTTCCTTGCCCCGTCCCACCCCTCCCAGCCACCTCTGTCCCCAGGATGCTCTGTGCAGGTTGAGGACCTGGGGAAGGTCCCTCCACGCTGGCTGTTCCCTGCATCCCCCATCCCTGCACCCAGCAGTGCCTCCTGCATCCCCCGTGGGTCCTGTGGTGACCCCAATGCCACAACCCCCTGCACCGGCACCTCCGGGCCCCTGCCTCATCCCGCCAGCTCCATCCCTCGCCTCCATTCCTCCTGTCGGTCCTTTTCCCGTTCTCCATGCCCCCACAGCCCACCCCGTCCCCATAGACTGCATTTCCTCGCAAGCATTTCCAGCGGCGCGGGGCCGGCGCCGCCAGGTAAGGGGGACCCGGGACAGCGGGGACGGGCCGGGACACGGCGGAGGGGTTCCAAAGCCATCACTGATCCGTCCCCTTGCACCCCTTCTCCTCTGCTCCCACAGGGTCCACGCACATCCTCACCCCACAGAAACTGCTGGACACGCTGAAGAAACTCAATAAAACAGAGGAAGAGAGCAGCAGTTAAAAGGAAACGCTGTCACCACTCGATGCCGACCCACGTCCCCGCTGGGCGCCCGGCCCCGGGTGCCACCCTGCACCCTGTGGGCCCAGCTTCTCTCTTGTTCTTGTGTTGATCCCCCCTCTCCCCTCCCAGCGCCTCCCCCATCTCATCTTATCCACAGGGAGGGGATAACAGCCAAAAAAAAAAAAATAATATATATATATATATTAAGAAAATGGATGCATTGTGTTTAAGAGAAAAAGGAAAAAAAAAAACCTATATATTTGTAGCTGCAGCTGTGGGAAGCGCCCAGGAGCTCATTGCTGAGTAACCATCTGCCCATTGCTAGTGAATATGGTGGGAAAAATTACAGAAAACCACATTTTTTTGGGGGAATGCTCCTCACTGGGGTCTTGTGTGGACGGGAGGACAGATGGACGGACATCCCACACTGCTCCAGCCACTGCTCAGGCTGGCACCACCATCTATCCCATGGCTTTTGGGGCGGTGGGTGCTCCTGCCAGATGTGCGTGCCAACATCTGGGTGGGAGTTTGGGATGGGGGTGGTGTGGGAGTGCAGCCAGGACGCTTCACACCGTGGTAATTCCCATGTGAAAAGGGACCAAACTGGTCAGAACTGAGCTGGGGCCTGTCTGCTTGCACAGCCCTGCTGCAGCCCCTCCTCCCTCTCTGGGAATTCCTTAAAAAAAAAAATATATATATATATATATAAAATTAAAAGCTATTTTATATATATATATATAGATATATATCTGTGCTATCTCTCCATGGATACCTCTCCATCCCTCCCCATGGGAGCTCGGTGCCTGTGCCCAGCTCCGCTCGTGTCGTCCCGTGGTGAAGCGTTTCTGAGCGTGCCGTCGCCCTGAGACCCCCCAAAACCCTCTGGGCCCTCCCCAAAAACCCTCCGGGCCCTCCTCAAAAACCCTCTGGGGCCCCCCAAACCCTCCAGGCCCCCCAAGCCCTCTGGACTCTGTGTATATTAATGACTGTGTCTTGTGACGTTCTTACGAGCTTGGTGTATAGTGATTTCCCCAAACTCTGATTTTAGTTGGGTTTTTATTTGACGCCCCTGGATTGCCCCCTGTCCCTTGCCTTTAGATGCACTGCAATATTTTGGGGTCTATGGTTTTGTTCTGTTCCCCATGGAGGCTGTGACCCCCCCTTTTCCTACCCTAAAATTGCTCTTTCTTGCCTCGTTGGTGGTTAGCCCCCCCTTTCCCTTCCCTTCCCTTCCGCTCCTTGCCCATAAAGTTAAATATATATTTTTAGGGCAAAGGCTGTATCATTGCACTGATATTTGTTGGTTCCCCTTTGGTCTCCTAGCCCGTTTCTGTTCCTCTTTGGTTTAGCAATGCAAATGCTTCAGGATCTTGTATGTTGGACATTATTATTATTATTATTATTTTTTCTGTTACAGTTATTTATATAAAATAATTTATCAAAAAGGAAAACTTTAAAAAAAAATAATCTAGTCTGTCTTGGAACTTGTTTACCTTGAAATTACTGGAATCTAAATGTTTGAAAGTGTTGAAGCACAAACATGTATCATCTCTGTATATCTGTTCTTCTGTACTAAAGCACTCGAGTGACTAAATAAAAGCGATCTCCATCCCTAGTGCAACTGGGGCTGTGCTCTGCTGCTCCCTCAGGCCCAGGAAAACAGGGAAAAGGCATGGGAAAATATTCCCTCCAACCCCAAGGGAGTTCTCCTGGTGTGGTGATGCCAAACTCCCCCTAGGAGTGGCTTTGGGAAGGAAAATCAGCACACGAGTCATCCAACTGCATTTATTTCCTTCAAAAATAGGTGATTTCTTCGTACAAAATACCAGCCCAGTGGCTCTGCTGGGCGTTAAAAAATAGAGGGTAAGGAAAAAAACCCCAACATTTGGTCCTGGCTACTGCATTTGGGATAATTAACCACACTTTCCACACGCTCCCATCACACCCTGCCTGTGCTGGAGGAGTCACAGCTTCCAGCTTGGAGCACGAGCATGAGCAGAGGCAACCAGAGACACATAAAATCTCTAAAATCCCCCAAACCTCTTTTAAATCCCCCAAACCCAGCCCTCTCACCCCAAAAAAGGAGGAGGAGACAGCCCCATTCCCAACCCCTCTGGGCCCATGTCAGGATCAGGCTCAGGAGGAGCTTGGAAGGCTCCAAGACCCGAGTCCCTCACTGATGCCCCCTCCAAATGTGGGTATTTGTACAACAAATAAAAGAAAAATAAATACATTTGACACTGGCACTTCAGGTAGGTCCTACAGATAAACACAGGTTGAGGTGCTGGGGGTGGAGCAGGGGGTTTGGCTGGACCCATCCCAGGAAAAGCTGCCCCAACCACATCCTTTTTCCTAAAAAATAGGAATTAACTCCTTCGAAACCCAGCTGGGAGGAATAGGGGCTCCACAGCCCCACACCTGCTTTGGTCTCAGCAGGTGACTTTTCCTCCACCAGCCCAGCTTCCCTGAGGATCTCAGGGGAAAAACCTCAAATCCTTCATTTTATTTTCCGCCTGGATGATGCTGTGGGTGGCCACATCCAGGGATGACCAGAAAAAAAAACCCACACAAATGCCCTAAGGGTTGTGCTGGAAATGCAAATCAGAATATTTATATATATGTATCTGTAGAAAGATATATCTATAGAATCAGCTAGAGATCTGGACATACACAGATCTATTTATATCTGTCTCTCTAGCTACAGACATATAACTAAATATAGATATGCCTATATCTAGATATATCCATTTATAGATACACATATATCACCCATTACAGGTCATCAATCATCACTCCAAAGAGTGATTTAGCTGCTTACTAGCTAAAAAATTCACATAAAAAACACACACAAAAAAAAATTTCCCCAGGGAGGATCCTGCTGGGTTCAAGTCCAAGGGCAGAGGGCACAGGGCACAGCCCCCTGAGGAGACCTGGAGGCTGGGAAAGGGGTGGGATAGGGAACCCCAAGGAATGCCAGGGAATTCTGCCCACACAGGCACAGAGGTAAACACAGCTGCCAAGGGGGCTCGACCCACACGAGGTCAGAGCACCCCTGTAAGTGCTCAGGGTGGCCACCAGCCTGGGGGGACACCGGGCCACCCCGCTGCTCCCAGGGGATGGTGCTGCAGAACGCTGGGGACTGCTGCCCAGCCTTCCCCCCTCCTGCAGCCTGGGGCGTCCTGGAGACAGACAGACAGACGGACAGACAGACGGACAGGCCGTGCAGGGACTGCAGGGAGAGCGGGAGGGAGGTGGGAGCCAGGGCAGGAGCCCCTGGAGGCACCTCCGGCCCTGCTGCCACCAGGCGTGGCAGGGAGCACGCAGTGAGGGACACTGAGGGTCCATCCCCTCTCCTGGTGGCACGGGGGGTCTGGAGGTACCTCTGTCCCTGCTGGCCCCAGGTTTGTCATGGAGCACGCAGTGAGGGACACTGAGGGTCCATCCCCTCTCCTGGCGGCACGGGGGGTCTGGAGGGGCCGGCGGGGCCCTCAGAAGAGGCAGGAGCCGCGCAGGCCCCGCGGCCGGCCCAGCTCCGCGGCCAGCGCCCGGCTCATGCGGCTGGTGGTCAGCCTGACGCTCTGGGCAGCCTCCACAGCCCGGCCCAGGGACCAGTTCAGCTCCTCCAGCTCGTCCAGGTCCAGGCTCAGGCAGCGGTGGTGGCCCCGGGGCCGGGGGGGACGCTCTGCCTGCTGGGGACCCACAGGGATACCGAGGGGGACCCCAGCCAGGGCTGGGGCTGAGGTAGGAACTGCTGGGGAGCAGTAGCTGGGAAGAAGAAGGGACACGGGCTCAGTGGCGGGGTCTGTGCCACCACACCACCTTACTTCCACCCCTTTTCCCATTTCCTCCATGCCCACCCCGCAGCACCACCCCCTAAACACAGCAGATCCCAGAGGAGCTGGTGGTAGTGTCACCCCACAGCAGATCCCTGAGGTAGGGACAACCCCTCCTGGGCTCCCCCTCCACCCCTGGGGGATGCTGAACCCCCGGGCCCCCTGCCAGCCCCAGGGCATCCTTACAGCATGGAGGGCACGTAAGGCACGAGGGGGACGGGTGCCAGGCAGACGGTGGCAGCGGTGGCAGCAGGGGTGGCTGCCAAGTACCAAATTCCAGGTTGCTCCGGCTTCTTGGCTCCAGCATGGGGGCCTGGGGGACAGGAGCCACCAGGGCCACGCTCTGCTGCAGAGAGAAAGGTGGTTAGATGTCCCCATGGGGGTTCGGTGTCCCCAGGGGTGCACATCGAGTGGCAGCCCCAGTGCCATCACCCCCTGTGCCACACTGGGTGGGCACAGACCCCAGGCATCGTCAGGGGGCTGAGGTTGTTCCTTGTCCCACCAGCCAGCCCCCATGCAGGGAGGAGCTGTGCCAGGCACTTGTCACCCACCGTGTGTGGCTGTGTCCCTGCTGCCCGTGGGTGCCCGGCAGGTGGGGCAGGACGTTCTCCTGGGGGTGCTGTGCTGGGGCTGCCGAGGGGTGTCACCTCCCCCAAATGCAGCTGTGGAGAGAGGACATCAGGAATGTCCCATGCACTGCCAGCCAGGGATGGTTGGAAAGAGCTGAGTGGTTTGGGGGGGCTGATGAGATAGGGGGGTTCCCTGCAGGGAAAGGGGGGTCTGCAAAGGTGGGCTCTGCACTGGCATCTGGGACAGGGCTGGGGACAGGTGACACTGCTCCCGGTGACACCTGGAAGCCCAGGGAATCCCAGCAATCCCAGGGAATCCCGTGTTTTTCTGCCCACACAGGCACAGACAAACACAGATGCCAAGGGGGGCTTGAACCGTGCAGGACCCCCACGAGGTCAGGACATCCCCAGAGCAGCCCAGGTTGGTCCCCCCGGGGGCAGTGGGGTCCGGCCAAGGGACAGTGGGGAGAGCCTCAGGCCATGAGGAATGGCTTTGTCTGTCCTCTTCCTAAGCCGCTCCAGTTAATGAATTAAGCAGCTATTAGAGGTGGTAGGGAGGGCTGGAAGGGGCTGTGGGCCACTCACCTGATGCCGTCCTGCCCCTGTGACATCGGGGACACCCCGAGGTGCCCGGCTCTTCTCGGGGTGCCGGCGTGGCACGTGGTGTCCCCGCCTGGTACCGTGTCCCTGCCAAACCCCAGCGTGAGCATGGCCAGGGTCTCCAGGGTGGGGGCGGCCACCTACAGCCCCACCACCGACCGCCACCAGCACCCACCTGCGTACTGTCCCCGGAATGTCACCGCCCCCGGGGACTTCCCAAGGTGCTTCCGCAGGGCGGGGGCTGCCCGGGGCCCGGAGGGCGAGGGCTCTGACTCGGAGGCTGCGGCGGAGGACAGGGAAGGAGGGTGGCATCCGCTGGGACCGAGCTCCAGACCTGCAGGACCCGCCCTGGGCTGAGCACTGCGGGGGCCGTGGGACCACCAGCACCTGGTCCCCACGGTCCTGCAGCCCCACCACATCCTGCTGCGTTTGGGGAGGGCAAGTGGCACGCAGGGGGAGCGTGTCCCCTCTGTCCCCACGCCGGTGGGGTCCCACTTACCGAGGTCCAGCTCCGGCTTGTCCCGTGGCAGAGATGCCGACCTCGCCCTCCGCGTCGGTGTGACCCCGGGGGCCACCCTGCCCCGCACCGGGGGGCTGGGCTCCCTGCACAGGGGACAGAAATACTGTCACCACCTCCACAGGCTGAGGCTGGGGGTGTCCCCACGCTGCCCCCCACACCCCCCAGGTCCCCCTCTGCCACCTACCCCGAGGGTGCTGGGTCATGCGGGGCCGATGGTCCGCTGGCCACCGGCTGCCTCCTGGCCGGGGTGACACGAGGAGCGGTTTTTCCCTCGGGATGGCTGCGGGAGCGGAGCAGGCTCTCCTCCAGCCTCCGCCGCAGCCGCCACACCTCGTCCTGCAGCGCCCGGATGGCCTGGCTGCCCCAGGACACATGTCCCGGTGAGGGGGGCTGCAGCCAGCAGGGACCCCAGCAGTGCTGGTGGCCCTCGGGGAGCATCAGCAACCCCCTCCCCATCCCACCACCGGCACCCAGCAGCTGGGACCCTCCCCAAAACCAAGCCTGGGCTGGATTGGGCTGGGGTCCAGTGCCCTGTGGGTGCCTTTGGGGGCGTCCCTGTGTCACCCAGGGGGGTCTGGCCTGGTTTGGGGCGGTGGGACACAGCCACTCACTCGCGCTCCAGACGGGAGCCCAGCAGGTCACAGTGAGCCGGGTCGAGGGATGGCAGGTCGGGGGACAGGAGGGTGGGGGATGGCGTTTCAGGGGAGGGCAGGGGGCTGGTTGGGCTCCTGGCCATGGCTGGGGGGTGGCCACCGGCACTGGCACAGCTCCTGTCCCCCACCTCCGAGTCCGTGTGAGCTGGGAAGGAAGGGGAGCACAGTGAGCTGGGATCAGAGAACAGAGACTGGCACACACCTCCCTCCAGGGAGGGTGACACCAGCACCACACGGAAGTCTGGGAACCTCAAAACCCAGAGCCAGGGCCCCCCAGATCTCTCTCCCTCGCCGAGTCCTGTGTACTCACGGCCATCAGCGTCAGGGTCCGGCCCCACCTCGCTGCCCGCGCTCTCGGCCCAGCGAGGGGGGGAGCTGCTCTGAGAGGGGCTGCTGGGGGGCAGCTGGGCTCCCCCTGTGCCCACCGGGGGGTAGATGCCCATCAGTGCTCTCTCGGAGGGAAGCGGGGTCGTCTGTCTCTTCCGTGGGGTACGGAGGCTGCTGAGGATGGGGACGGAAGGTCCCAGAGAGCCCGGAGCCCTGGGGAAGGGACGGGTCATGTGGGCAGCCCCCAGGGCTCCCCCAGGACACCGGCACTCTGACATCTCCAACCCTGCTCCCCACACCCTCAGTGCCTCTCCCGCCATCCCTGCTCCTGTTCAGCGCCCCAAATCCCGCAGGCAGGGCCGTACCCTGGGCCGGGGGGATGGTGCTCGGGGGTGTGCACGGGGGGTGACACCCTGCTGGCCTCCGAGCCCACGAAGCCACTGTCGGTCTCTGGGGACACGATGCGCTGCTCCTGCAGAGGCACGGGGACAGCAGGGTCGGTGCCCAGCAGCACGGGAGGCTCTGGGGGGGCTCTCAGGTGGGGACCCGCAGTCCTAGAGACTCACCTTGTGGGGCCCGTGCTGGGTGGCACTGCTGCCTGTCCCACCGAGGGACAGGGGCACCCGTGGTGGCCCAGGGACCCCAAGGAGGGGCTTGGCAGAGGCTGGTGGCTCCTCAGGGGTGGCAGGAGAGGGGTGGCCCTGTATGTCCTCCAGGTTTGGGGGTTCTCTGGGGGGAAGCGTCGCAGCTCTTCTCTGTGGGAGGTGCCTGTGGGAAGGGGATGGAGTGGGAATGATGGGGAAGAGCAACCCCAGACACGGGGAAATGCCCTGGTCCAGCTCTGCCATGGGGGCCGTTAACCCCGAGGTAAAACTGGAGACCTGATGTCAAACCTCCTGCTCACCCCCGCCTGGGGGCCCGACCTCCACAGCACTTACAAGGGCAAGGGCTCGAGGCTGGGCCCCTCCTCGAGTGACTGTGTCCTGCAGGGGACCTTGCTGGGGCCACCGTCCCTTGCCGTGGGTGCATCCACCTCCTCCTGGGACCCGCTCCCCGCCAGGCTCAGCTGCTCCAGGCTCAGTGACTCCGGCAAGGACTTGAAGTGCTTGTACCTGGGGGGACCCGCGGGCAGGAGCGGGTGGCTTTGGGGACATGCTCCGTGCCCGTGTCCCCCCTGCCCCGCTGTGAGGGCACTCACTGCTCCAGCAGGTCCCCGAAATCCTCCTCCACTTGGCGCTGCTTGTGCCAGAGGGGCCAGGGCAGCCCCCCTGCCACCCCCTCGCTGTCCCCTGCTGTCCCCCGAGGATCCTCCACCAGCGCAGGGCTCTGTGAGCACACCACAAGGGGGTGAGAGGGATAAGCCCCCATAAATGCAGTGGGGTGGGGAACCTTCGCACCCCAGCTCACCTCGGGGCGTGAGGAGTGAGCGGCTGGCAGTGGGGACAGGGCTGGGGGGCAGCGGGGCTGAGGGGGGGGCTGAGGGAGGGACTGCGGGGGGGGCTGAGGGAAGGGCTGCCGCCTGCCCCCCGGCTCCAGCCGATCCTTCAGCCCCTCCAGGCGCAGCCCCAGGCGGTAAATCTCCCCTTCCACTGCTCTGCAAGACACCAGCCATCAGTACAGGAGGGACAGCTACCCCCGGGGACTCTCCGGGGGCTCTGGGGAGAGGGTGGCAGGGGCATCGCGCACATACCGGTCAGGATCAAACCCCCCCGCAGCCTCCGGGAGCTGCTGCCGGCCCCGCAGGTATTCTCGCTCCAGCGCATCCTGCGCGTCCTTCAGCATCCTCATCCTCTGCGGCACAAGAGCGGTGTCCGGACCTGTCCGCTGCGCCCCGGGCACCCCCCGTGGTCCTGCCGCCCCCCTGGCTGGGGTCCGGGAAGGGACAGACGCACCTGGAGCTGTTCCGAGGGTGTGGGGGTCCCTGCACGAACCCAGCTTTCGAAGGATTCCACCTGGCCGGGGTTGTACGGGCTGAGCCCGGCCCTGCTGTACCCGCCCCGCACCTCCCAGACCCCCCCACAGGAAACACCCCAGGGCTGCTCCAGCGCGATCCCGCAGTGCAGCCCCCTCCCCAGCCTTCCTTCCTTCCCAGCTCCCTAAAACACTCCCCCCCCGCAGCATCTCCCCCAACCCCTCTGATCCAGATCTCCTCCGCAGCTGCCCCCCCAGCCTATCCCTATAGCTCCCCCGCAGAACTCCCCCCAAATCCCTCCCTGCAGCCCCCACAATCACTCTCCCCAAAAGCCCTTCTCCATGCAACCCACTCGAAGCCCCCCTCCTCACAGCCCCCTGTTCCTGCACCTCTCCACGCCCCAGCCCCCCAGCAGCTCCCCAGTCCTTACCTGAGCCTGCAACCTGCGGCTCTGCCCCGCCAGGGCCCGGGTGAGCCGGGGGCCGGGGCAGCAGCACGGCCCGGGGCAGGTGGGGCAGCCCCCCCCGGGCGGAGGAGGAGACCGAGGTTGGGGTGAACCCCCCTGCTCTGACGGTCCTGGGGTTGCAGCTGCGAGAAAACACGAGGACAAGTGACACTGCAGCAGCGGTGACACCAGCGTGGGGAAGGGGCTGTGGGGGACAATCCCCCCAGAACAGGAGCAGGAGGGCGGTGAGCCAGGCAGGGGACATGGATCAACACACCTGCGAGGTGTGGGGCTGTGGGATGGGGATCAACACACCTGCACCTGGCGAGACTGAGGCTGTGGCCGGGGCTGTGGCTGTGCCGAGAGCCGCTGTCCGTGCCTGCGGGATGCTCAGGGTCATCACTCGGCTCCCGGTGGCCACGGTGCCCATGGCGAGGCTGCGGCTGGGCTGTGGCGGGTCGGAGAACAGGCTCACCTGGGCAGGGAGAGCGGGTTTAGGCAGCCAGCCTGCACCCCGAGCCACCCACCGTGCCCCGGGGCACCCTGAAGCACCTCACGGGCACAGCAGTGGGTGTGGTGAAGGTGGGGACACGCGTGCGGGGGGCGGTTGGCACAGCCCTGCCTCAGTTTCCCCACCCACGCGGTGGCAGAGGTGACACGGGGACACGCTTCCTGCCATCTCAGAGATGTGCCCCGCCATTCCGGGGACAATCCGGCACAGCCACCGCCCTGGCACGGAGGGGACGCTGCCAGGCGAGGGGTGCACGATACTCCCTGGGCTGCTGTGGGCTCTGCGGTGGCCTCAACCCCCCTCCCTGGGCTAAGACCGCTCAACCGCAGCTCCCCGGGAGGAGGAAGAGGAGGGGGGCAGGGGGACAAAGGCACAGCACATAACCTCAGGGAGGGGGAGCAGAGAGGGGAACCCCCCCAGGCATCCTGAGCCCCCACCCACCCTGGCACCCAGGCGCAGCTGGTCGATGGTGTTCTCAGCCTCCGCGTACTTGGTCAGAAGCTTGTGGTAGTCGTCCTGCGGGGAGGGGACACCAGTGGGGGACAGCACGCGGCACGGGGGATGCCCGAGGGGTGGGTGCTAAGGGGGGGGGCAGCCCTGTGTGGGAACAGCACGGAGGGGGAGTCCCATGAATGGGGTGCAGGAACGCCCTCGCTAAAACACCCGACCCCTCTGTGCAGATGTGACCCCCGTATCTCTGCGTGGGGAGAGGCCCCTCTCCTCCCAGGGGGAAAAACATCCTGAGAGTGACAAGCTCTGTGGGGGTGACCGCCATCCCGGGGGGACACCATGAGCACCCTGTCCCCAGGCTGAGCATTGCCCACATCCCCGCTCCTTCCCTCCTCGCCAGCTCCATGCATGACCGGGAAGGCGTGACCAGCACCACACCCCCATGGGGGTCCCAGAGACAGTGACCCTCCCATGTCCCCCGCACGCCCTTCTCCCCCCACCCTGGAGACCCTCCCAGCACGGCCCTGTGGCTGAACGGGGGGAGCTGGGCGTTACCTGGAGCTGCTGCACCAGCGCCGTGGCTTGTCTGGGGGACCTGAACTCCTGCGGCAGCCCGGCCGTGCTGGGGGGCTGCGGGACCGCCCCCTCCCCGCTGCTCAGCAGCACCTCCCGCACGATTTCGGCCGGGGATTTGAAGCCGATGGGGCCGCGGGGGCGGGCGGGCAGCACCCGGCCCCGGGGGGGGCGGTAGCTCTGGTCGAACTTCACCCGCGCCTCCACCTTGGAGAGGTCGGGCAGGGGGTGGTTGAGGCGCCCTCGGCCGTACTGGGTGCCCTCGGTGCCCGTTCCCGAGGGATCCTTCATCCCCTTGGCACCCGTTCGCCTCCGGGGGCTCAGGGACCGCGACTGCCGCGCGGGCTTGGGGGGCACCACCGCGGGCGCTGCTTTCTTGGGCACTCGGGATCTGCCGTGCCCTTGTGGTGCCGCGGGATTCCCGGCGCCCCGGGGCTGCCCGGAGGATGCCAAGCCAGCAGGTGCCATCGCTGTGCCAGGGACACGCTCGGGGCTGGGGCCATCGGTGGAGAGCTGCACGGGGAGGCTCCCTCTCGGGCTCCACTCCTGCCTGTGCCCCCCGATGGTGTCCCCGGCCGTGCCCCAGCCCCGGTGCTGGCGGGACGGGGTGCCAGGGCCAGGGCTGGTGTCCGAGAGCGCTGAGGTGTCCCCCCCGTCCGTGCTGCAGCCCCGGGGCTGGCACAGAGCCCGGCCGTCCCTCATCGCCTCGGGGCTGTCGCTGGAGCCCGAGCCCCAGCGGCCCCCGGAGGACAGCTCGGGGTAGGGGTCCCCATCGCTTTCTGCCCCCCAGGGCCCCTCGTCCCCCCCGGAGCTGCCCCGCTCCTCGTCCTCCTCCTGCCGCGTATGCCATCGCCCCTCCTCTGCCGGGGACCCCTCCTCCAGGTCCTCACTGTCACCTGCAAAACACCGGCACCGCGGGGCTGTCGCCACGCACACCCAGCCGGTGTCCCCGGCCCCCCCGGCTCCAGCAGCTCCTGGGATATTGGGGACCACCTCTTCTGGGCAGGACTCACCCCACGGTGGGCTCCTGGCACCCTCCCCCAGGCCGATGACCCCATCCTCGTCCATCCGCCTTTCAAAGTCGTCTTCTTCCTCCTCCTCCTCCTCCTCGCCCTGCCAGCGCGTCAGCTCTGTTTGTGTCCAGCGCAGCCATGGTGCCGGGCTGGCCATGGCCGCGGGCGTGCCGGGCCCTCACTTGTGTCGCTTCATGGCCCGGCGGCCGTGGCGGCGGGCTGGGGACCTCCTTGTCGCGAATGTAGGTCACAGCATCGCCGCCGCGTCCTGGGGGGGGCCGGGGGAGAGGGAGGGATGCTCAGCGGGACATGGTGGGCTCTGTCTGAGGTGTCTCCCCCATGCTGGCAGGGTCTCCCCTGTCCCCCAAATCCCGGGGACAAAAGCAACCGCTGATGACAGGGGGGACACCCTCGGATCAGACCCCCCCCCCACTCTGCATCCCACTGCAAAGCTGGAGCTGCCACATCTCTGCCAGCCGTGAGGTCCTCGTGGGGAAGGAGCCCCTCAGGGCCACCCCAAAAGGTTTGTCCCCACCCCGGGAACACCCAGCCCATGCTGGCACCCTGTGGATGTCACCCCAGCTGGGCAGCCACACCCTGGGGACCACCGACAGTGCTGGGGAGGCAGGAGCACCCCAAAGCACCTCTGGATGTGGGGTCAGAGCAGAGACCTGACACAAATTCCCCCGATGATCCCAAAGCATGAGCTCCCCCCTCACCCCCACCCGGGGTTTCCACCAGCAGCTGGAGAAACGCCGGAAGCCAAAACCCCAAATGTGGGGTGTGGCAAGAAAGGCCACGGGGTTTTCCAGCCAGGGTCCCCTCTGCTGGATTGGAGCGCCACAAGCACAAATTTTGGCCTGGGGGGCCAAACCTCCAGCCCCATGCAGGGGACACTCACCAGCAGCCCTAGGACATCCCCATCACCGTGACCCCGTGGGGACTCCTGAGCCCCTCGAAACCTTCCTGTGCCTGTGGGGCAGCCGAGCTTTTGCAGAAGGAGGAAATGATGTTTCCTGCAAGTTTGCAGGTGGCCACAGACGTTTTAACCCCATCCGGCCCTGCGCAGTGGGGGCTGAACCCTCTTCCTGCAGCATTTTCTATCAAAACCTTTATTTTTTAATCCAGTTCAGAGCAAAATGCTGTAGGAAGAGAGGAGAGGGAGATCCCTGGGACCATCAGCAGTTGGCCCAAAAAACATCAGCACGAGGATCTCCCAGGAGACCTAAAATTAAGCTTTAAACCCCCAAAATTCAGCCATCCTTGGAAATTCCCCCAGATTTCCAAAGGGAGGGTGCAGCTGGCCCCATCCTGGGATGCTGCTCACACTCCCAGTGATGCTGTGGCTGCACCCAGGCACTGTGGCCTGTCTTGGCACATTCACAGGCAGCCAATTAAGCCAGCTCGTTAATGTGTAATTAGTGGCACGCAGAGGACAGCTTGACGAGCTAATGAAACCACAGCACGATCCCGGGGGTGGTTGTTCTTAGCCAGAGGGTGCTGCGGTGATTTTGGGTGCTGCTGGCTCAGGAATGGTGGGGATGGAGTAAACCTATCCACAGCACCCACATGCTCTGGGAAAAGTCTTCTCATCCCCTCCCAAGCCTCAGTTCTGCAAATTCCTTGGGTGTTTGTGAGGTTGGAGGTTATTTTCCAGCACCACCTGGCATCAAGGGCATCATCCTTGCACCAAACTTGCACCCAGCCCTGCCTGCATCCTTGGGGCATTCCGAGCAGGAGCAAACCCCAAAGCATCCCTTAGGGTCTTGCAAGCTTCCTCAGGGGTTTGCATAAGGTTTCCCCCCGCTTCACTGAGTGGATAACTCCATTCCCCACACCTGGAGATGCTCCACAGTTTCTCCTGCCACTGGGAAGGACGGGGCTGCCCATGCGATTCTTCAGACCCTGAGCTACTGAAACCAAAGAGGGATTTTGGCTTTAGCTCCACCCTGAGCTGGGATGTTTCCAGCCCCAAGTCCTTACACACATCCCAGAGATCCCCACCAAGTGCCTCCCATCCCACCTGGAGCCCTGTGGGATGCCAGAGCCATGAGGAGCCCCAAACACCACGGCCAGGATTCCCCAGGAGAGTGCTGGGTGAAAGGAGCCTGGGTGTAGGAATGTGCTTTCTGTTCACAGTGACCAAATTATTCTTTTGCCTACTTAAAAAGGTGCAAAGCCCAAAATTTTCTCTCCTCAATTTGGTAAAAAGACACCTCACCAGACCTTGAGAACTTCACCTCAAACCTGGGGCTGCCCAATTAGACAAAGGCCAAAAAGTCCCACCTAAGCAATTCACTAAAAAAAGAAGAGAACAAAGGAAATAATTGCTTTTGTGGAGTGTTTTAACAAAAACCTCTTACCCCTAAATCAGTTTTTCTCTATAAGAGCTTTATTATTTTGCCTTTTATTAAAACTGTTTCTGTTTCCAACACTACCTCAAAAACCATTCTACTAATTTTATACCATTAAAAGTAACTAAGGTATCTCAAGTGTAATAAGTTCTCTAAGAGCTCATAAGACCTAACTCAAAAAAACCCATCACCTGGGGGGCCTGTTCTCTTGGGAAGAAGGGGGTTAAAACATTCCCAACCCATTTCTGGTGTTTCTTTAACCCCATCCCAGGCAAGAGATGGGGATTTTGCATCTCTTGAAGGAGGCCATGGCTGTCACCCCATTTCTGAGCAGTGGTTCCCCCATGCACAGCCCACAGCAGCTGCACTCTGCAGGAGCCACTTCCAAACCAAGCCACAGTTATTGCTTTCCCAGAAAATCCCTCTGCTGATGGTCATGGTGGCAAGAGCAAAAAAAAATCTCAGATTCTTTTCTCCCCTCTAAGTGATTTTCTCACTCTTATGGGAGCACAGAAAAGTTTGAAAAATGATGTGGCTTCGTGCTCAGCAGCCACAAATCAAACAGAAACAATCCCAAATGTGTGTGCAGAAATATATCCATATATTTTAATTTTCCTCTTGGAAAGCCAGGATTTTTGCAACATGCAACTGGGAAAAAAGCTAAAAATAAATTTAAAAGCCTCAGCTAGAAAACCTTGAACTCTGCTCTGCCCCAGCCCCTCAACCCCTCTCCTGCCCTACAAATCCCAGTCAGGGCTGTCCCAAATTGTGGCTCAGGGCAGAGAGGCTCAGCTGAGGGAGGGATGCTGCCAGCAGTGCTGGGTGCTGCCAGGTGTCTGTCTGTCCCTCCAAACCCCCGATCCTTTCTGCAGGCAGCGATCTCATCCCTGTCCCGATTCCATCCCTGCCCCGATCCCATCCCTGCCCCATCCCTGTCCCACTCCCTGCCCCGATCCCATCCCTATCCCGATCCCATCCCTGCCCTGATCCCATCCCTGCCCCGATCCCATCCCTGCCCCGATCCCATCCCTGTCCTGATTCCATCCCTGTCCCGATCCCATCCCTGCTCTGATCCCATCCCTATCCCACTCCCATCCCTGCCCCGATCCCATCCCTGTCCCGATCCCATCCCTGCTCCACTCCCTGCCCGCGGCAAAGACCGAGGTGCGAGGCTGAGCCCGCCCAGCTCATCCCGTGTGGGCAGGGGAGCAGCAGCCATCAAGGCCGGCACGAAGCCATCGTGGCTCCTGGGTTTATCAGTGGTGACAGCAGAGGAGACAGGAGCATCCTCTGCCCCAGGGCTCGCTCGGTGACAGGGGAGGGGGGGACAGGGCTGCTGTCACTCTGCCTTCACTGCCTTGTCAACCCCGGGCAGAGCAGGGGGGATGGGGGGGCTCTACACCCCACACTTCCATCCCCACATTCTCTGAGTGATGTGGAATTACCTTCCTGCCCTGTGTCCTAAAATCCCTTGCCTGGGATGGGTTAAAGCCCCTCCTGCACATCCGTGCCCATCTGGGATGCAGGAGGGGCTTAACCCCGTCCCAGGCAAGGGATGGATGTTTTGCATCTCTTTTAGAGAGGTTTGAAGGAGGCCAGAACGGCCTCGGGCTGAAACTTGGCAAGGGATGTCTGCGCTCCAGGAGGGAGAAATTCCTGGTGTATAAGCCCTTTTTTTAAAGCCCACAGAGCCCCGTTTTTATAGGCATGAAAGAGGGCAGAGAAGCGGAAACGCTGCGTTCTTAGTTTGCATTATTTCCTACTAGAACAAGGGAGGGACCATCACAGCGAGGAAGAGTCTGACAAATCTCCCTCATCCCCTGAAAGTACACGCCTGTCACCATCACAGCAAAGCCCACGTGTCACCCCAATTCCGGCAGCTGGAGGGGCCATGTCCCCCTCCAGCCCCCCATCCCCACGGAGAGGCACCAAAACACCATGGAAATGTCATTTTTCCAGCACTTGCACCGAAGCAAAGCCCCACGACGTGACAGAGAGCTCCTCTTTCCTCCCTCCTCCCTGGCACCTCCTGTCCTCGCTGGAGACACCCCGGGTGCACCCCCGGGCCGAACCCCCGCAGGGCCGGGGGCGGATGGCCGCAATGCCCTGAAGGACAGACAGACAGCCTTAATCCCCGTCTGGAGGGCGCTGCCGCTGTCCCCGCGCCGCAGCCGGTGCCACGGAGATCCCTTCTTAGCACAGGGCAGAGAGGCGGCGGGGACACGGCCGGGGGATTGTGCTGGGGTGAACCAGCCACAGCTTCCCCGTGCCACGGCCTCAACCCCCACAGCAAAGAACTGCTCCCCTATATCCCATCCAACCCTGCTCTTTGTCAGTTTGAAGCCATTCCCTGTGTCCTATCCCTCCATCCCTTGTCCGAAGTCCCTCTCCAGCTCTCCTGGAGCTCCTTCAGGCACTGAGAGCGGCTCTGAGCTCTCCCTGGAGCCTTTTCATCCCCATCTCTCCCAGCCCGTACAGGCAGTGCCTGCCCTGCCGCGCTCCCCGCCTGCCCTTGAACTTTAAGAAGCGATTTAAGCCCTGCCCGGAAGGTACCGAGAGGCTGCGGCTGAGCACGGGACACCCGCGACACCCGCGGGCACCAGCGGCTGCCATGAACACGGCTGCCCTTTAAATAAAACAGGGAAGTGAAGCTGAACGCTGCCCCGGCGACTTCCTCCGAGGAGCCGCCGGCAGCTCCCGGCCCCGCAGCCCCCGCCGAGCCCCGGCCGTGCCTTCGAGCCGCCTCCGCAGCCCCTGACGAAACCCTCGCGGAATCCTCCGGCCCCGGCGGGGAGGAGGCACCGCCAGAAGAAAAGTTCTGACAAGTTTCCTCGGGGCCACGAAGGCTGCGCTGGCGCGGGGAGGACACGCCTCGGCCGGGAGCGGCGTGTCCCGCATCCCCCCGCAGTGTCCCGCATCCCTCCGCCGTGTCCCGCATCCCCCGCCGTGTTCCGCATCCCTCCGCCGTGTCCCGCATCCCCCCGCCGTGTCCCGCATCCCTCCGCCGTGTCCCATGTCCTCGGCCGCAGGGACCCCGCCGGGGCTGGGGGTGCCCCCGCTCCGCCCAGGGACCCCAGCAGCTCCCGGCTGCGAGCCAGCCCTGCCCGAGCCGGGCTTAGCTGAGCCGGGCTCAGCAGAGCCGGCAGCTCTGGATGCGGCCCCGGGATGGGGCCCGCGGGCTGCGCCTCCAGCTGTGGCTCCGGCGGCGCCCTGGGGGTCCTCTCCTTCCTTCCAGCTGCGGCAGGCGGCTGCAGGGAGCAGCCCAGCCATTCCCGGCCCCCTCGGGCACAGCTGGGGCACATCTGGCCCGAGGGCACCGCTGGAGCGGCGCCCTCACCCCGCGAGCGCCGCGCTGCCCACCTGTAGGGAGGGCCCGGCCGGCACCGCCTCGGCCGGCGCTGGGCGGCTCCGGTCCCGATCCCGATCTCCGTTCTGCTCCCGGTCCCGGTCCCGATCCACCCCGGCCCGGCCCCGCCGGACAAAAGCGCGGCCCGCGGCGCCAGGGGGCGTGGCCTCCCCTTATTAGCATACCCACCGCACTCCGCCAATCCGCGCCCGGAGCAGGAGGTCGTCAGCATAAACCCTGCCCATCTTTTATTTGCATATCCCGCGGCTGACGGCCAATCAGAGCCGCGGCTGAGGGACTCTCATTGGCATAATTTATGCAGCGCGGGCACCCCCTGGCGGGGCGCTGCCCATTGGGAAGGGAAGGGAAGGGAAGGGAAGGGATCCATGGGATGGCTGATCCTAAAGATCCTTGGCAGGGATTGAGATGAGAATGGGGAAGGAATGGGGTAGGAATGAGGAGTGATTGAGATGGGAAAGAATGAGGTGGGATAGAATGAAATGGGGATAGGACTGGGCATGGGATAGGATGGAAATAAGGACTGGATGGGTCAGGGATGGGATGGGATGGGATGGGATGGGGCTGGCACAGGGCATCTCCTCACCACGACCACCACTGCAATCCCACCCACCCTGCCAGCCCTGGGAAGCTCCCAGGATATTAAGGAAAATATCCTGGCACCCCTGCTGCTTCCTACCCCCTCATCCCAGCCCCAAAGCACCCCCCAAGCGCAGCCTTTTTTCTACCCTGATAGATTTATTGAAAAATTAAAAGCACAAGCTCTGTATATATAAATACAACGACATTGCCAGCGATTTACAAGGCCTCCGGTTGCTCTCTCTGCATCCCCACCCGTGGCTGGCACCACCCACCTGGGCACCTTGGGGACCACCCAAAGGAGCAGCAACCCCCTGAAACTCCCTCCAGCCTGAGCCACGGGCCCACCTTGTTCTGTGTGTGGCACTCAAATGACAGCGGGGACACCCAGACCGTGCCATCCTCCTGCCCCGCTTGCAGCCTGACCGAGGGGGAGAGGACATTCCCTACCCCAGAGAGGACAGGGATGGAAACTTGAAGGGATGTGCCCGTTCTCAGCCTGCCCTACCCAGGCAGCGAGCCTGCAGCGGGCACGGGGACATCTGGGGACAAGCTGGGGGTGTGTGCGCGTGCGGGGCCGTGCGCGCTGGGACGCTGCTGTCCCACCTCGGCGCCATCCTCCATCCCCATCCCAGCGCTCCCCATCAAAGCAGCGCTGCCCAAACCCCTCCCCTAAAGGGCGACGTTGAACTCTGTGACCAAGAAATCGATGTAGTCCTTTTCCTTCAGCTTAAAGGCCTCGGCGATGATGCGGGCGGCCTCCCGGTGCTCCTTTCCTCGCAGTCCTGTGCCGTTCACCTCCAAAATGACGTGTCCCACCTTCAGCTTCCCGCAGTTGTGTGCCGAGCCCCCCCGCTGCAGGAGAGAGAGGGGTCAGCTCATGTTCCCACCACTCCCTGCATCAAGCAGGGGGGAAAAAAACTGGGAGATATTTCATATCTGACGTGATGGATGTGAAATATTTCACTTTTTGGAGAGAGGGGATGAATTTGGCTTCTCCCCTGCTTGCTCCTGGAGCGTGACGCCAGCTGGGATGGCCAAGAATAACCAAGGCAGAGTCGGCTCTGCTTTTTTTTGCTGTAAGTAACTTGAATTTTGCCCCAAGTAAACAGCAAATAGGGAGACAGCTCCAGAGGGCTCAATCCCCTGGCTCCCATCCACCATTCCCCCTCCTCAATCCCCCATCTCACAGTCTCCAGACATCTGGAGACAGCAGCCAAGCTTTCAGGGCTGCCCTGATCCCCTCGGAGATGTCTGGAGCACACAGCTGGCTCCCAGGAGGTGTGTTCCGGGATGGGATCATCCACGGGACACAGACGCCGTCCTCAGCGTGGCAGAATGGTGCCTGCGGAGGTGCAGGGCTGTAGGGGGGACAACCCCCCAAAATCCCCCTGGCCACAGCTCCAGGGCTTTGCCCAGCCTGCCCAGGGAGGAGAGGGATGGGATGGGATGGGCTGGGATGTGCACGGAGCTGTCCCATCCCAGCTGCCCTACCTGGATGGTGACGATGCGGGGCAGCGGCTGCCGCGTGTTGGCGCCGCCCTCGATGGCGATGCCCAAGGTGGGAGCGCTCTTGGACACCCGGATCAGACACGACGTGGGCTCCAGGAGCCCTGGCTGTGGGGACAGATGGCACTGCTGAGGGGGCCTGGGCACCGTGTGCCAGCCGTGCTCCCTCTGCCAGGGCCCCACAGCAGGCAGGGACACGCTGGCTGCCACCACGGAGGGACAGACAAAGCCCTGCAGCTGCTTTCTGACTCCTGATCTAAAATCCCACCTCTGGGCAGAGTTGGAAGGGAAACTCTGGGAAGGAGCTGAGCAACTCTCTGCCTGCCTGCCTGTGTCCTTCAACCTCACCACCACCAGAAACCCTCTGAGTTATGTCTGATACCCACTGCCACCTTCCCTTTGGGTGACAGGTGACTTCACTCATGCGGCTTGTGGATGTCCCTTTAGAGCCAGGAATTCCCTCATGATCCAGCTGGCTGGAGCTGGGAGGGATGGGATTTACTCAGGATGGAGTGAATCAGCCCTACAGTGCCCCTCTCAGCCACTCCTGACCCCTTTCCCCACAGCTCAGCCCCCCAGAGAACTGACTGCCTGCAGCAGAGAGGAGAAATACCCCAGCCAAGCACGGACGAGTGGCTGCTGCCTGTGGGCAGAGGGAGTGGAACGGGCTGGCCAAGGCAGTGGGGCACAGCCCTGGGTGCCCCCTCCCACACAGAGCAGCACCCCAGACCCCCCTCACCGGCTTGGAAGCCCCTTCTGCCGCCCCCTCGCTCCTCGTGGCCTCCTTGGGGCTGCGGCTTTTCCCGGGGCCTGGCTGCCGGCTCCTGTCCTTGCCGCTCGTCTCGACCTCCCCGATGTCCACCCCGCTGTCCTCGCTGAGGGTCTGCCCGCTGTCCGACAGCTGGGAGAGCGTGGAGGCTGGGGAGAGACGCGGCATTAGTGGGCGGGCAGCGCCAGGGCCGGGCCGGCCGAGCGCCCACGGCCACGGGGCGAGGGCAGCTGCCACTCCCAGGGCTGGGCAGCCTCCCTGGGATTCACACCGGGGCTGCAGAGCAAGGTTCCCAAGCACAGCCCTGCAGAACCATGGAATTGCTCAGTTGGGAAAAGCCCTCTCAGATCATTGAGTCCAACCACAAGAGCAGCACTGCCAAGGCCACTTCAAAGCCATGTCCCCAAGTGCCCCATCTACATGGCTTTTAGATTCTTTCAGGGATAGGATCTCCACCACTGCCCTGGGCAGCCTCTCCCAGTGCCTGACCACTCTTTCAGTGAAGGGATTTTCCCATTATCCAACGTGAAGCTCCCCTGGCACAGCTTGAGGCCATCTCCTCTTGTCCTGTCCCTGTTTACTGGGAGAAGAGATTGACCCCAACCTCACTGCAGCCCCCTGTCAGAAGAGCAGAGCTGTGCACAGGCAGCATCCAGAGACAAGTGGCCTCAAACTCTGGTCTGGAACCCAACCCAGATCCCAAACTGGGATGGAAGGAGAGAGTGATGAATTCAGGGACCCTGCTGGAGGCACGTTTATGCACCCCATGCTCCACAACAGGGTCTGGGAGGAGACAGGGACCAAGCCAAGTGAAGAGCTGCTGCCATGTAGGAGCTTTCTGTCCTTCGAGGATGAAGACCAAGTGCAGATGGAGGCTGGAAATGTCAGGAGCAGCGGCGGCGCTGCATTAATGCACCCGCGGCGCTGCATTTAATGCACGCGCATCGCCCTGCGGGCAACGAGCGGGCTGCAGTGACGGCGCTGTGCCACACGAGGGCGACATTGCCACTCGTGTCGCTGCCGCAGCGCGGGGGGGCGGGAGCGCTCCGGGACCCCGGGACTGCCCTGGATCCCCCTTCCCTCTCCATCCCCGAGAGCCCCTGGATCCCCCTTCCCTCTCCATCCCCGAGAGCCCCTGGATCCCCCTTCCCTCTCCATCCCTGAGAGCCCCTGGATCCCCCTTCCCTCTCCATGTCCGAGAGAGCCCGTGGATCCCCCTTCCCTCTCCATCCCCGAGAGCCCCTGGATCCCCCTTCCCTCTCCATGTCCGAGAGATCTCCTGGATCCCCCTTCCCTCTCCTCCTGCAGGAATCCCCCTGGATTCCCCTTCCCTCTCCATCCTCGAGACTCCCTGGATCCCCCTTCCCTCTCCTTCTCCAGGAATCCCCCTGGATCCCCCTTTCCTCTCCATCTCCGAAAGCTCCTGGGACCCCCTGGGACCCCTACTCCCTCTCTATCTCCCAGGGACCCATGGGGTTCCACACACTGTTCCCTCACCTTCACTTCTTTTTCCTGGGAGAAATGCGACTCCAGAGCGGAGTGTGGGCACAATTAGATTTTTTTTTTCTCCCTCAAAATGTACAGTTAATGGGAAAAGACCACAATTATTACTGGTCCCTGAGGTCACAGAATGGGTTGGAAGGGATCTTAAAGATCATCCCATCTCACCCCTGCCATGGGTGGGGACACTTCCCACTAGACTGAGCCCTGTCCAGCCTGGCTTGGACACTGCCAGGGATCCAGGGGCAGCCTCAGCTACTCTGGGCACCCTGTGCCAGGGCCTGCCCACCCTCCCAGGGAACAATTCCTAATTCCCAATATCCCATCCATCCCTGCCCTCTGGCAGTGGGAGCCATTCCCTGTGTCCTGTCCCTCCATGCCTTGTCCCCAGTCCCTCTCCAGCTCTCCTGGACCCCTTTAGGCCCTGCCAGGGGCTCTGAGCTCTCCCTGGAGCCTTCTCCTCTCCAGGTGAGCACCTCCAGAACCCTCACCCTCCACAGGAGAGATGCTCCAACCTTTGGATCATGAGATCCATCACAAGACCTGAAGCCTTGCGATGCGTGTCCTGTCCCATTTATCTCCCTCCCAACACCCCAGGGATGGATTTCTCCAGCTGCTAAGGTGACACCCACCTCTGGCCTGGGGCAGGGGCCTCACTTCGTTGACGTCGGGCTCGCTGTTGGGCTGGTGCACCTCCACCATGATGAAATGCTGGTTGGCCGCGGCCTGGGGGCTGCCCTTGTCCGGGGGAGGGGGCGCGGGGTGCGAGGGCGGAGGAGGAGGGGACGGGGCCGGGGGGCTCTGGAGCCCCTCTGGGGACGGGCTCTTCAGCCTGGTGGGGGACTGGACCCTGGGGAAGGGCCCGATGGGGTGCTGGCTGAGCAGGGAGAGCGGGGCCTCCGCCGGCCGGCGGGAGCCGCGCGGGGACGGGGAGATGGTGGCGTAGATGGCGCTGGGGGCGGAATCCTCGGTGGACGTGGAGGCCGTGGAGGTCATGCTGACCGTGTCCTTCTCGGGGGCGTGCGGAGGGGGAGAGGGGTTTCGGGGGGCCACGAAGAAAAGGCCAGACTGGGAGGACTCGGAGGAGGGGCGCTTGGGCTTGTCCTTCCCCGGGAGCCGGGGCTGGGCAGAGGAGGGGTCCAGGGTCTGGGGGGCTGATGGAGGAGGAGGAGGCTTGAAGTTGGGTGGTTCCTCTGGGAAGGAGGAGAGATCATCCTGCCAGAGCAAGAACAGTTTGTAGGACACCATGCCCAGGCTCAGAGTCAGTGCATGTTCATCTCCTCACAGTGACCATGGCTGAAGGAGCTGGATGTTATAGAAACACCTTCCTGGCCTGACAGTGTTACACAAACACCTTCCTGACCTGGTAGTGTTACACAAACACCATCCTGACCCTCTGACAGTGTTACACAAACACCTTCCTGACCTGGTGGTGTTACACAAACACCTTCCTGGCCTGACAGTGTTACACAAACACCTTCCTGACCCTCTGACAGTGTTACACCAACACCTTCCTGACCTGACAGTGTTACACCAACACTTTTCTGACCCTCTGACAACAAGAATACGACTCACAAATGAGCACAGCTGCAGAACAGCTGATGGGCCAAGAAATGTTTATAATATATTGTAATTAGGAAATAGTTGGCTTCTGATTGTGATGGTGTGAATTATAACATCTGTATTGTCTCACCTTTCACATGAGACTGAAAATAGAGTAAAAGCTTTTAAAATGGCTCTCAGTTACCATGTCTGGGTCAGAAAAGAGCCTAACCCAACACAGAACAACCCCCTCCCAAGCTTTGCTTTGGTTCCACAAGGCTGCTCCTATCCAGCCAGCCAGATCCTCTCCTGACCCACCTGAGGAGCTGTGCCCAGTCACTCCCCTGCGGGTGGGTATGGCCCAGCTGCTGCAGCTGGGGCACAACCCAGCACCCCCAGTTTGCCTCCTGCTCCCCCCAGCTCCGTGCAGGCCTTACCAGGGACACATCTGGCAGGGTGTTGATGCTGCTCTGGTGGCAGTCCCCAGCTCCCTCCAGCTCTGATGTGTTCTGAGAGGGCACAGAAGGAACAGAGAAGCATGGCACAGCAGCACGAGCAACCAGCACTGTGCCAGGGGACGGGCAAGGGATGCTCCAAACCCCTCCCCATGCAGGGCCAGCCTTACCCAGGGGTTTTTACCTCCTTGGGGTGCCTTTGTTGGCTCTCCCAGGCTAAGGGATGTGCTCAGAGCATGCTGTGGACCTGACACGCTGGGGTTTCCTCTAGGCCCAAATCAGCTGCTCCTGCTGAATTTGGGAGGAGGGAAGGGACCAGCCCTGAGGGCTTCAGTTGTTTTTTCCCCCCAGAGGAAGGACAATAGAAATTTAAAACTCTTCTTCCCTGCAACCCAGAGCAGTGGCTCTCAGATGCAAAGAGAAGCTGCTGCCACTGCTTCATGAGCCCAAAACTGTCACCAGGAAATGCCACACCACGGTTTTGAGGAGTTCACAGCTCCAGGAATGCAGAAGGGATTTCCTGTGGGAATCTGTCAGTAGGGATGGCCCAGGGAGAGGCCATGGATGCAGCCAGGCAGAGCAAACCTGGTGACATCAGGGGTGGGGCACAGCAGCTCTGCCCTGGGAGCTGTGCCCAGCCCTGCTGAGGGAATCCTGTGCCAGGGGGGACCATTCCCAGCTCCCCTGGTGGCAAACCCAGCCTCAGCCTCCTCTCCCTCAGTGTGTGCTGCTCTGGAGGGGGCTGCTGCTGCTCAGGGAGGCTGAGCTCGGCTCCTGTCACGCTGGCAGGGCTGTTTGGATGGGGCAGGGCACAGTTTGTGTTTAAGTGCCTGCTATTTATTACAGGATAAACAGCTGATTAGCTGAAACACTGGTGCATCTGCATCTCCCCCAGCTGCTGGAGGCTGCTGCTGTGCCTGGGAGATGTTCATGTCCCAAAATAGACACGAGAGACAATTAAGACCATTAGAGGAGCAGCAAAAACATTAATGTAAAGTGCTTTTATCCCTGTGGCTTCTGAAGGAGCCCTGGGGAGTGAGAACACAAAGAAACAGCTTGTTCAGGGAGTGACAGGTAAAGGCCTGGCTTGGGAAACCTTCCTGTGGCACAGGGTGGTTCCATCCTCTGTTGTTCCAACATAAGGGCAGGGGGCTTTTAAAAGAGAATCACAGAAGGATTTGGGTTGGAAAGGACTTTAAAGATCATCCAGTGCCACCCCCTGCCACGGCAGGGACACCTCCCACTGTCCCAGGCTGCTCCCAGCCCTGTCCAGCCTGGCCTTGGGCACTGCCAGGGATCCAGGGGCAGCCACAGCTGCTCTGGGGAATTTGGCAGCAGCCAAACTGTCCCAGCTGTGTCACTGCTAAAATGGGAATAATCTGCCTGATGCCCCCTAAAACCTGCCAGGGCCATTTCCCCCGTCCTGTGTCCATCACAGGCCACGTCCCAGCTCTGGCCGCGCAGCAAGGACCAGCCTGTCCTGAGCTGTGGCTCCTCTGCAGATGCTGGCTGAGCACAGCAGCTGCCCCTGTGCCCCCCAGTGCCACTGCCAGCTCTGTCCCCCCCAGCCAGGGACACTGCTGCTCCTCCTCAGGGCACCTCTGGCTGCAGGAGATTTGCTTTTCCTCACTCCTTCAGGGGGCAAAAGCAATTAAACAGTGATTGCTCTGGGCCATAAACCATGATGACTTTCAAGCACATTTGCTTTCAGGAATTGGCTATTTCGAGGCTCTGCCTTCCTGGATTTCCCTTGAAAGACTCACAGAAGCCACTGCCCTGAAAAATGAGTACTGAGAAGGCTGCTCCCTCCTGCTCCTCTGCCCCATCTATTTTCCAGTTCTTCATGGGAACTGGGGCCAGGTGAGGCCCTTCCAGCCCCTCCTCAGAGCAGCTGGGAAATGTTTGTCCTTGTCCTAAAAAGAGTCCCCAGCAGGAGTGAAGGAGCTGCAGAGCATGTCTCAGACAGGCAGTCTTCATTTGCAGATTAAAGGGTGGAGAAACTGTCACTTCCCCAGGGAGCACAGCCCAACCTTTAATTAACCTCTCAGCTCCAAATCAGTCCCCTAATTTCCAGTTACTGCTAACGAGAGAGCTTCACTGAGCCACTCAGCCTGAGTGCTGCAGGGTGTCAGTTTTGAGCAACTGCCCCAGCCTGGAGATAAGCCCAGCTTCCCTCCCCTTCCATCTCCCAGTCTGGAATGCAGCCACAGGGATGGAGGAGGCACAAGCCTCTGCTCCAGATTTTAGGGGTCTAAGCATGCATAATGACCTCCACACAGTGCTCTGTCCTTATCCTCATCCTCTGAGAGGAGCATTCCCAGCACGTGGGAATGCTCCATGTGGGATATTCCAGGGAGCTGGAGCTGATTCACCTCTGGAGCCAGCTGGAGCAAGGCAGCACCTCTGGAACCACCACCTGCCTCCAGCCCTGGGAGGAGAAGGCACCTCTGGCTGGCAGCAGCTTTGCTGGGAGGTGGTGGAGAGGAAAACCAAACTCCAGGGATATAAATTCCTTCATCCCAAAACTGAGGGTTGGGCAGGAGGTAGGGACAAAGGGAACGCTAGAACAGTCAGGGATTCCCACTGCTCTGGTCAGACATACTGCACCTGATTATTGCAGTCTGCAGCTGATCTCTGCCCTGCAGGACTCATCTGGAGGCCCAGCATTCCCAGGAGGTGCTGATGACACTCAGACAGTGGCTGGCACTGTCAAACATTGGCTCATTGCCAAGCATCCTTCAAGCATTCCTTGATGGAATCACTCATCCCATGGCAGGGCCTGCCCAGCCCCACCCTGCTTGGTTTTGGTGGAAGTTTGTGGCTACAGCTCTCCTCACAGAGAGCAGAAGGCACAAGTTCTCCAAGGATTTTTCCTGGGGAAAGCAGTGAGAAGCTCAGAGAAGAAGAGAAAACAATTCTTATCTCTACTTGCTGTGCCTGCTGTTTGGCACATGTGGAATGTGTTATGGAGATTGTTTACCCAAAGTGATTTGTTAGTTGGATTCTGCTGAAGGTTGTTTGGATTCCTTGGCCAATTGGGTCAAAGCTGTGTCCTGGCTGTCTCAGAGAGTCATGGGTTTTCTTTAGTATTCTTTAGTATGGTATCTCTTTAGTACGTAATTTATTATAGTATTGGTGTAATATAGTGTAGCTTAATAAAGAATAAAGAAGATTTCGGCCTTCTGAAATCATGGAGTCAGAGCACATTATTCCCTACACTGGGGTCGCCCTGCAATGACACAAGTTCACTCACCAAGCCATGGGACAGGTGGCCTGCTCTGGTGTCACTGAGTTTGGTCACAAAGCCAGAAAGTCTATGTCCCACGGTCTGGGGTGCCTGGGACAAACTGGGAATGCTGCAGCATCCTCTGCTGGGTAAGAGTCATTCCCACAGGGATGCAGCTCTTGGGGCGGATTCACAGCTGCTGGTCCCACCCTTTGCTCTCTGGGCTGTCCTGACCCTGTGATTTCCTCCTGGCCAGGAGCAGGGAATGATCCCACACCCTGGAGCCTGCAGTTCCCTCAGCCTGCTCCCAGCCAGTGGCTCTGGGGTGACACAGGGGTTCCTGGGGCTCCCCCACAGCCCTGCCCAGCCCCTCCAGAGCCTGGGTGAGCATTTCTCACACACAGTGCTGACCCCCTGTGCACTGACCCCCTGAACTGCAGCATGGGGCTCTGCACACCCTAGGACCATGAGGAAAATTCTCCCCTATCCTAAGGATGTGTGCTGGGATGTGAGCAGCCTGTGAGAGAGCTGGGGATGCTCAGCCTGGACAAGAGGAGGCTCTGTAGAAACCTTGTTGTGCCATTTCACTGCTTGGAGAGGGCTGTACAAAAGATGGGGACAGATTTTTTAACAGGGCTTGTTGTGATAACACAAAGGGGAATGGTTTTAAACTGAGAGGGTCAGTTTAGATCAGATAGAAGGAAGATGTGTTTTAGAACAAGGGTGGGCAGGCCCTGGCACAGGTGCCCAGAGAAGCTGTAGCTGCCCTGGATCCCTGGGAACATCCAAGGCCAGCTTGGACAGGGCTCTGAGCACCTTGGTCTAGCTGAAGATGTCCCTGCTCACTACAGGGCAGTTAAATGAGATGGGCTTAAACATCCCTTCAACCCAAACGGTTCCATGATTTTCTACTGCTGTTTAGCCAGGGTGCCCACACAGCACAGCAGCAGGCAGGCAGGGAGGGCAGTGTGGGATCTGCCATGCTCAGCTCTGCTGCTCCCTCCAAAACCCCATCCCTGAGGTGTCTGTGGCACTCAGGTGCCCGCTGGGTCTGGCTCAAGCTGAGCCTTGTGTGCCCTGCAGCACCAAGGACTGGGGAAGGAGCTGCTCTGTGCAGAGGCACTGAGGAGCAGCAGAGGGACACGAGGTGGCCATGCAGCAGCAGCCCATCCCTCCCCTGCCACCCCCCTGCCCCAGCCACTGCAGCCCTACCTCCATCAGGTCTATGAGCCACAGGAGCCGCTCCTGGGATGTGCCAGGGGAGAGCAGAGGGAAACAAGCACAAAAGTGAAAAGGTGCCATCAGGGAGGGTGCAGAACAAAGCAGCGAGCTGAGCAAACCCCGCAGGGCACTGCCCCTGTCCCCAAACCCAGTCCCAGAACCCACCCCCAGCTGCAGGCAGGGAGGGCTGGAGGGAGCCCCTCCTGCCGGGGTGCTGGGGAGGGAACAGCAGCAGGGGCTGAGGGATCAGTCTGGGAGCCCTGCCCACATCTCTCCTGCTATCCAGGCACCCATCCACCACCAGCTGGTGCTCTTTGCTTGGCAGCTCTTGGGCACAACCATGGCAGTGGCAGCATTCCCATCACCCTGGATGGGATCATCTCCATTCCGTGGAGCAGGGCGTGCTCTCCCACCCATGGGGACAGGTGCCACATGGCCAGGGAGGCCCTGCAGGGCACAAAGGGCACGTGCTCTTGAAGGAAGCTCTGCCCACTCCCTTCCCTGTGCCACAGCAGCACCCTGGTGTCCCTCCCAAAGCTCTGGGCTCGTGTGCCAGGTGGGGCTGGGCCACTGGTCACACACTGGCCCAGGCAGACACGTTTGTGTTGTGGAGCACGTGGCACAGCCCCAGGCATGGGCACAGCGTGAGAGCAGGGTGTTACACTCAGCACACAATCCTGGCAAACCTGTGCCAGCCCTCAGAAAAATTTTCCCAGCAGCTCCTTGGAGAGCAGAGCAAAGCTCACTTTGTTTATGCAGATCCAGAAAGGCTCTCACTGAAATCCTCCTGACCTGAGCAGGTGGCTTTCCTGTGGGCACTTGTGGATTTAACAGGACAAAAGCACAGCTCTGATGCTCTGACACTCTCTGAGGTCTCTCACAGGCAGGCAGAGCCCCAGGACAGCCCCCTCCCCTCTCCCCCACGGGCTGTGCTGGGTGGACCCTCCCCAGCCCCATCCCACCACCGTGGGCTGCTTTCCTCGCTGAGCACAGAGCCCATTGTTCCTCCTTCCTTCCATGAAGGGTTTAATTTCCAAGGTTACTAATGCATTTATGATGAAAGGCATTTTATGGCGAGGAAATTAATTTGGGGGCTGTGTGCGTGCACAGTCTGAGGTGATTACAGTAACTTAATTAGACGGTGCGTGCGACAGGGGCCTGGCAGAGACGTGGGAGTGCTGCTGCTGCGTGCTGAGAGTGGGTGGCAATGGGATGCAGCTGCCTGGCCACTGTGGCTCCCACTGGGATGGGGGGCAGGCAGCCAGCACCCTTAGGGGGTGATTTAGGAGCTGGTGAACAGCAGCAGGCATGGCATGGCAGCGGGCAGGGCTGGGATTTCTGTGGGGATGCAGCTCCAGTGGATTTCTGGGAGCAAGGCAGGCTCTGTCCCTCACTGGGATGAAGGTGATGCCTCAGGTTTTAGCTGTTCTATTTTTCAGGTTCTGTGCTGCTTTAGTGTGTGGGTCTGAGCTTCACATGAGGGGATGGTGAGCTCTGCACAGCTCAGGGAGACAAAACAATTCCTGCTCTAGCTGGGACAAGGCATCAAAGGGACAGGCAGCCCTCAAGCAGGGGACAGCAGCATCTCAATGTCAGGGCACAGAGACACCCAGCACCTCATGGCATCACCTACAAATCACCCAGAGTGCACAGAAAAAATAACAGCTCTGAGAACCCATGGGGGAAGCTGGACAGGGCTCGCTGTGGGCTGAAATGGCTTTACAGCACTCAGGGAGAGCAGCTGGCTGTAGGATTGCCAGGAGGAGGTGCTGAAAGGAAGGGGATCGGGCAGGAGGGACCTACCCGGGCCGAGCTGACGGTGGTGGCAGTGAAGTGGCTGCTGGAGGACGAGACGGTGTCGCTGTAGGACATCATGGAGTAGGAGTCGGCGCTGGGCCCCGCGGGCTGCCGGGCCTTCATGGACTCGATCTCCCTCTTCAGCACCAGGTTGTCGAAGCGGTCCAGGTCTTGTGGGGAGATCACCCCCCTCACCTCGGAGAGCAGCGAGAACTGGCCAGGCACACAGAGCCAGAGCCAGGTTGGAGCACAGTCACGCTCCTGGGAAGCTGGAGGTCTCCCTCCCCCACGGTCAGCAGTGGCAATGGCAGGTGATGGAGGAGGTTTGATCCTAAATGTTACCACAAGCTCCTCTGCCACTGAACACCAGCCTGCATCCCCCAGAATGGCCCTGGCACAGAGTGCCCAGAGCAGCTGTGGCTGCCCCTGGATCCCTGGCAGTGCCCAAGGCCAGGCTGGACAGGGCTGGAGCAGCCTGGGACAGTGGGAGGTGTCCCTGCCATGGCAGGGGTGGAACAAGGTAATTTTTAAGGTCCCTTCCAACCCAAACCAGGGTGGAATTCTGTGCTGGTTCCACGATAATGTGGATTTGTCTCCCATACCCTCCCTCTTTCCCTGAGCAGATCACCTTGGAGGCACGGGGACACATGGTGACAATGTCCCCAGCGTGGCAGTGACTCTGCTCAGCCCACCAGCCCCAGGAGCTGTCCCTGCCCTGGTGAGGGCCTCACCTTGGCATGTGTGTTGAGCAGCTCGAAGAGGGCCATGACCAGAGCATCCACGGAGATGTTGCCCTCCTTGTACTCGTCCAGGTAGTAGCCCATGGTGGCCCGCTCCTGTTCGTTGAGCAGGTGCCGTGCCTGCTCCTCCAGCATGACCCGGGTCTGGTTCACCATGGTGCTCAGGGTCACCTGCGAGCCGGCCAGCCCCCGGTAGAACACGGGCTGCAGGGCACAGGGGACAGGCGTGGGGCTGGGTGGCAGTGGCAAGGAGGGCAGAGCTCTGCTGAGCCAGCTGGGCTGAGCAGGCTGGACCACAGAGTGCCCCTGCTCTGGGCTCCGCCACCAGCCCTCCTGCCTCGGTGCCAGCGCTGACTGCAGGGAGCTGGGAGTCAGACTGGAAGGAGGAATTTTGAGGATGACAGGAGGAAGGTACCCCCAGGTACCCCCCATCAGCCTTTCAGTGTCATCACTTATTTGGGTAAGTCTAGAACCATGATCAGAGGAGCTGAGCTTTGTTCTCTAGTACAGGAGCCAGAGAACAGCTGGAGCTGAACCAGGGCAGGAGATCAGAGAAAGGCTCTTCCCCCAGAGGGTGCTGGCACTGCCCAGGCTCCCCAGGGAATGGGCACGGCCCCGAGGCTGCCAGAGCTCCAGGAGCCTTTGGACAGCGCTGCCAGGGATGCCCAGGGTGGGCTTGTTGGGGGGTCTGGGCAGGGACAGGGGCTGGGCTGGGTGATCCTGGTGGGTGCCTTCCTGCTCAGGGTATTCTGTGATATTCTGATTCTCTGAGTCCATGCTGCACCAGTTGAGTTTCCCATCCCCTTTCAGCAAGTGGAGATCCTGTCCCCCCACCAGGCAGTGATTTAATCCCAGGCTGTGTTCCTCCCTGGCAGAACTGGGGGAACTGGGACCACAGGAGACAGCCCAGCTCCCCATCCTGTGGAAAAGGCACGTTTGCCTCCACTGCCAGCTTGAAACAGAGTCTAGTGAAGAAAGAGCCACTGGCAACCAAAGGAGCTCCAGGGGGAGACAAGTCTGGCTGCAGATGAAAGGCTTTTTCCCTTGGAGAGGGATTTCTGAGGGGAGGTCCTTAGTGTTTCCTCCCAGGCAGAGCTGGCACAGGGATATGGAACCAGACAAGACCTTGACTATCCCAGAGACAGGGAGAGTTGTGGCTGGGGAACATGTTTTGCCAGCAAAGAGTACAAAGCTGTTATCAGTGTGAGCCACCTGTGAAACCTCCCTGTTTAATTTCCATTTAAAAGCAATGTGCTTTGCAAGGAGGTGTGGAGGAGATGCTGGCACAGAGCTGCAGGCACAGCACGGGGTGAGTCCCTGTGCCTGGTGAGCTGGGCAGGGCTGGCTCAGCTCTGCCTCGGGCTGGGACAGACCCCTGCAGCTCCCAGGGCCCACAGACAGCCACCATGAGGCCAGTCATGGTCACCTCTGCAGGGTGGAGGGTCCCCACGGCCCTTGTCCATGGGTGATCATTGCCCCTTGCCCATTAAGAGGGCACCAGATGTGGCACAGGAGAGGGGACACCACTGTGCCACTGTAGAACACAGCTGCCAACACAGCATGGGGAGGAGAAAGACCATTAAAATCCCAAACCAGCATCCCTGCTGTAACCAGGAGCATGGCCCTCCCTCCCATGGAAAATAAACCACAATTGCAGTGATAATTTCACAAGGCATCAGGAATGTCTTACCCTGGCTGCCACGTCCATAGCATGGTCACCCACTGCCCTGCGAGGAGGGAGAAGATCAGTTAGCACTGAGTGCCTGTCACTTGTCACCTGGCACAGCACATGGCACCTTCTCTCCTCTCTGGAGAGCCAAAAGCTTCAGGCAGGGGAGAAGGGGAAGGGACTGTGGATGTGACAAGTCAGTCAGAGACTGAAACAGATAACTTTCCCTGACATCATTCTGGGAGAAGCTGTGAGAAGCTCAGAGAAAAGAATTAAAACAATTCTTAAGTCCCTGCAGCTGGAGTTTGTGAACATGTGGAACGTGTTCTACATGATGTTTATGGAAAGATGGTGTTGGTCTTAATTAACCAATTGGGTGACAGGTGTTATTAGAACCAATCAGGTTCTGGGTGAATGATGTTGCTTATAAAAATATGAAGTTTTTAATAAATGAGCTTTTATGGCTTCTGAAAATGCATGGGGAGTTGTGTCACCTTCATTCCTGTTCCTGACACAACGGTGACATCGGACAGCACAACATTGTCCACACCTGCTCCACCCTACAGGCCAGAGATGCTTCCCTGACACAGGAGCCAGACCCCAGAACGGGGAGCTCCATGGACAGGGTGGGGGTCCCCATCCTTCCAGGGGCTCTGAGCTGACAGACCCCCCGAAAAGGCCCTGTCTTAGGTTGGAAATGGGGGTGTGTGTTCTATCCCCATCTGTCAGAGCTGGGGCAGTTCTCCTCTGTGCATGTTTTAGTTTTTTAGTATTCCTATTCCCATATCTTTGCTGAGAGCCCCTTAATTTCCAAATCATAATAATTCAGAGGGAGAGGGGTTTACATTTTCCATTTCAGGGGAGGCTCCTGCCTTCCTCAGCAGACACCTGTGTGTTCAAACCCAGACAGCCCCAGGCCCGTACCCCGCTGCGCTGAGCAGGGTCTCCCCGAGCTGGGAGCTGCTGATCCAGCGGGTCTCGTCCACGGTGGTGCGGGCGTGGGGCAGGCGCCCGATGTCCTTCACCGTCATCATCAGGTGACGCGAGGACTTGAGCAGCTTCACGGCCTCGTCGTGGGGGATGCTCAGGAAGCTCCGGCCGTTCACCTCCAGGATCTGGTCTCCCACCTGTGGAATGAGGATGGACTGAGCCTGGCATGTCCTTGGAGCTCTCCTGTTGGGAATTACACTGTCCTGTCCCAGCAGGGAGGTGCTGCCCAGTCTAAGCCAGCTCCAAACTGGGACGGGGATGGAGTGACCAGGGACAGTGCTGCTGGATGGAGATCATCCCTCTTGCTGGCAGCCAGTGAGGACCAGTCCGTGAAGCCTGGAGGGGCCTGTTCAGGACCCCAGCTCAGACTGATCTGCCCAGTCTCCTCCACCAACCCCAAAGAACATCCAGGCCTCCAGCCCAGTCCCTGCTGCTGCTGGGCTGCAAACTGCAGCATCTGGGACAGCTGCATTCCATCTCTCCTCTCCTATTTCCTCCCCTAAGAGATTTCATTCTGTGGGCAAGGCCTTTGCTGGAACCAGGTGTTACTGTCATATTTTCTGTAAAAATTTTTTGCTAGGATTTCTCTCCTGTTGTTTTGCTGCTTTAGAATGCAATAAGTGATTGTTTCATTGGTTTCATGTGAATTGTTTTTACTTATTAGCCAGTCACAGCCAAGCTGTGTCGAGGCTCTGGAAAGAGTCACAAGTTTTTCTTTAGTATCTTTTAGCCTTCTGTCTGTATCCTTTCTGTATTCTTTAGTATAGTTTTAGCATAGCATAGCATAGCATAACATAATATAACATAATCCTTCTAAAAACACAGAGATTGATTCATCATTTCCTTCCTTCGTCTAGGAACCCCACAAATACAAGAACCAGGAGCTTCCCTGACAGCCTGGCCTTGTTTGAGACACAGCACCCATCTGGTGTTTCACCCTTCATCCCAGGTCCTCTTCCTCTGTGCTCCCAGGGCATCCAGGGCTGCTCCTCCTCACTCCCGTATCACAATTCACCCTGCTCCTGATAAACCACATTTTTGAAGCTGCCCTTTCCTACATTTGCTTAACCACAGCCCTCAGCTCAGCTCTACCAAAACACAGCATGGATTTTCTTCTCTGCCTGGCCAGCAAGGAGACTCAGGGAGAGAAAAGTTCCAGAGAAGTGAAACAAATGATCAGTGGCAGATGAAGGTGCCTGTGAAAGGACAGATGGAAGAGATTAGACCAGTTAAATTTAGAGAGGAGATCATGTGGGGGGCTGGATGGAGCTATACAAAATAAGGCTGGCAATAATGAGAAGCCAGAGAAGGGCTCCTGTTTGTCCTTCCCTCTGTGCAAAGGACAGAGGAGGCTCAGGGAGGCTGGGAGGATGCTGGGAGTGGGGCTGAGGGGAAAAAGGACCTGCAGCAAGAGCATCATGGAGTCCTTTGGGCTGGAAAAGGCCTTTAGGACCATTGACTCCAGATGCAGCAGAGCTCAGCTCCATGTTCAGCTCCATCCAGGGACCCTGAGTGGATTTGCCTCATTCTTCACCATAAAATTCAATGGTTTGTGTTGGAAGTGACCTAAAAAATCCCAGAAGTGCGAAGGGAGGGATCCCAGGGGAAGGCAAATGACACAAATGACCCCAACCACGGGGCTCCACAAATATCTCAGGTTCCCTTTGAGCTCTGTCAGCTTTAAATCCACTGTCAGAAAATTGCTGGATACCTGTGGATTCTTTGCTTCTTTGATGCCAGGGTCAGGATTTAATCACAAGATGATATTTCTTGTTCAGACTCAGATGTTTATTAGTTCTTATCTATGACACATTCTCACAAACCCTAAGTTCTACAGCATTTCACGCTAACAAACCAAAAAAATGGAGCCCCATCTCTCTCTCTACAAGACCTTTTAAGGATAAACTGTCCAATTAAGAAATGACACCTAAATTATTTTTACTTTTAACCCAATAACCAGTCACCCATGCTCGCAATGTGGACTTTTCTATCCAGTTACACAAAACCACCCAAACCCATGGAGAAGAAGGGGAAGGAGATGAATGTGAAAAAGAAGGTGAAGAAGCAGGACCAGCCTCTGCCCTAAAACCTCCATCTTGTTTTATCTATATCACTATATTCTAAACCCTTAAACTCTAAGTTTCCCACCCTGTGATATTAGACACTTCTATTCAAACTCCACACCCATAATTCCAGTTCTGTCATTCCATTTTGGAAGCTTCCCCACAGCCTCAGTGTTCTCCTGGGGGTCAGTGCCTGTCAGCACAAAGTCTGAAATTCTCAGCAGCCGGGGTTCCTACAGCTACCAAGGGAACAGGGGAGGGGAATTATGCCAGGGCCTGAAGTGCCAAGAGAAATACCCACTCAGGTGCACAAATATCATCTCCCAGGCCTTTCTGATCCATCAGGAGTCCCCTGGAGTGCATTTTGCTGCACAAACAAGGAGCACTGAGTTCACTGCAGCACCAAAACAATAAAAATCCAAATTTGATTAGGCAGTTTTATTGCAATTATGAATCTTTAATGGTTTTCCATACCACGGATTAAATTTTCATGATTTTTTTGGTTCAGGACAGTTACACAGGTTTAATAATCTTTAATTTCTCCTTTTAAGAGTGAACCAAGAGGAGCCTGGCATGCTCTTATAACATCAGGGAGACCAGAGGGGCCCTGGATTTTTTTGCTAATTAACATAGATAATAATTATATTTTCCCCCCAGTGTCAAGGACAAGTGGAAAAGTAACAAAAAATCTGCAGTGATGCAAAAGAACCATCGACTAAAACAAAAGCTGACCCTGAGAAATGATTTGCTGTATTCACAGCTCCAAACTGGCACAGAATAAAAGAAGTAATAATAAGAAACACACACACACACACACACACACACACACAAAAAAAGTTATAATACAACACAGGAAAATGATTGCCCTGGATATTTCAGGAACCACTTTTCAGTTGTGCTCAGCTAATGGTGGGTGGATACCCAGGATGTGCTGAATGCTTGAACACCTCTGAAAATGTGGATTACTCTCATTTCCTAGGGAAAATTGTAGCCTGAAATGCAGGGGCTGAACACAACACGCAAAAAGTGACAGACCATGAGAAAAAGAGAGTTTAGAAATTACACCTCAATGACAGCCCTGGCTCCTTCTTCTGGAGACAGTGGGGAAGGGGAGGTGCAGTAAAGGGAAACGTAATGGGCTTCAGACAAGGGTTCTGAGCAGCAGAAATAATCAGAGTCTGCTCGGAAAAATTCTCTTAAAAAGAATCAGAATTTGCTCTGAAAAATTATCTTAAGTAATCAGAATGTGCTCTTGGAGAAACCCAATCACACAGACAGAAAAATAGGCAAGAGATTTTAAATGTGAGTTAAGGTTAAAAGACACCAAACAGCGCTGGGAATAACAGGGCCAAGGGCTGATGCCAGATGGGTTGGCACTGGCACCAGTCCTGTTTAATGCCACTGCAGTGCCAGCAGAGAGGCTAAATGACACTGGAGATAGCAATAAAGTACAAGGAGCCTCTCTCCAGCACAAATAATTACCAAATGCCCTTAAGAAATTAAAGATACGGGCAGGAAATGTATGGATCAATTTGGAATTGACTGAATGAAGGCTAGCAGTAAATAAGGATGTGCTCAGCTTCTCCAGGAGGGAAATGGGGCAGGGCAGGTGAAACAGATGATCCATGTGGGAAGGGTCCAGCACAGACCTGGGAGCAGGACTGTGGCATTCACATCCTCTGAAAAATCCCTTTGCCCAGGATTTTTCTCCTGGGAAGCTGAGAAGCCTTAGAGAAAAGGAAAACAATTCTTATCTCATTTGCTTCTCCTGTGTTGTGCTCATGTGGAATGTGTTTGCAGATTGTTTACCCACAGGTGATTGTTTCATTGGGCTCTGCTGTGAGTTGTTTTCACTCTTTGGCCAGTCAGGGCCAAGCTGTGTCAGGACTCTGGAGAGAGTCACCAGTTTTCATTATTATCTTTTTAGCATTCTGTAAGTATCCTTTCTGTATTCTTTAGTGTAGTTTAGTATAGCATTCTTTAATATAATACAGTATCATAAAATAATGAGTTAGCTTTCTGAGAACATGGAGTCAGATTCATCATTCCTGCCTTTGTTGGGGCATTCCCAGCAAATCCAATACAGGACAGGGAATGAGGGGCCATGGCTGTCTGAAAATGGCTCCTTTCCCCAAACACTGCAGCCCAAAGAGGGGAGATGCAAGCCCAGGGAGGGAAGAGGCTCTCTGGGGGTGGCAGTGCTTGTGGCACTCATGGGGGGAGGTTTTTGGTGGCCTCCCAGGAGAGGAGATTTCTGTCTCCATCAAGGTGACACCACTGGAAGGACCAGGAGAAACGTCACATCTTGGGTACCAAAACCACAACCTCCTGAGTGACTTTGTCACTTTGCAGCTCATTCCCAAACTCTGAGGGAGCCCCAAAGTTTTTACTTCATCTTCTTTTCTTCCAGGGTATTTATCTGTGTCCAGACCTCAAAGCTCACTGCAGCTTTCCAGGGGTGGCTTTGGGATGAGGGGCTCGAGGGAGTTTGCAGATGACACCAAATGTGTCCAGGGAAGGGAATGGAGCTGGGGAAGGGGCTGGAGCCCCAGGAGAGGCTGAGGGAGCTGGGAAGGGGCTCAGCCTGGAGAAAAGGAGGCTCAGGGGGCCCTTGTGGCTCTGCACAGCTCCTGACAGGAGGGGACAGCCGGGGGGTCGGGCTGTGCTTCCAGGGAACAGGGACAGGAGCAGAGGGAATGGCTCAGGCTGGGCCAGGGCAGGCTCAGGGTGGATGTTTAAGAAAAAAATCTTCACCAAAAGGGTGAAGGGACTCCAAAGTCCCCATCACTTGGAGGATTTAAAAGCCATGTGGATGTGGCACCTGGGGACACGGGGCAGTGGTGGCCTTGCAGTGCTGGAGGAATGGTTGGACACAATGATCTTGGAGATCTTCTTCAGCCTAAATTATTCTTTGTTCTCTGACAGCCAGTGCTGAGGTAAAATCATTCAGCTCTTCCTATTTACAGTCTCCCTTTCCCTCTCCTCTCATATATGGATAAATATGGATGGTGATTTTCACCCCAGCCCTCGTTCTGGGAACTCAATATTGAGTTGTTTGCTCAGAGCCAGCTCTC